TGTGTTTTGGCCATGTAATGTTGCTGAAATTAAATATGTTATTACCTCTGAGTCAGAGCAGCGATCATGGAAGAGAGAACACAAGCAGACAGGTCTGGAAGCTGCTAATGCTCATCAGTAAATCAGTCGAAAATAAATAAAAATCATGATTCTGTCTGAGCTATGCGGTTTAAAACGAACACTCTGCACAGACTCCTGGTTAGGAGCTAATTTGGTTCTCGAAAAAGGCAGTCTGGTACTAAAATCGCACCCAGTTCCGGCGGTACGAAAACGCCAAAAAGTGGGTTGTTCCACAATTAGTTCTGGTACTATGAAAAGGTTCCCATGATGCGAAAGGCCCTATTGTGTTGGTTACATTTTGTTCCTTTGTGCAGTGGCTCAGGAGATGAGTCTTTGAGTTTGTATAAACATTTTTTTTTAGATAATGTAATCTTGTTAAAATTGATTTTATACAATTGGTATCGAAAAAAGTATCGTTCAGGAACCGGTATCGAAGTCAAGGTATCAGTATCGATATCGAAAATATTTTGAATGATACCCAGCCCTAGTGGCCTGGGGGTAGTTCACAGACATACCGGCACCAATTCCAGTTGTTTGGTGAGGGGTCTTTTGGGCTATTTGTTAAATATAACATAATAATGTGTCTGATTTGTCCAGCTGTTACACTGTGCACACAATAATGCAGGCTTACTATATTATAGTATTTTCTAATGAAGTAAAAAATTAACATCGGTTTCACATTCTGGTGTGACTCCATTTCCAAGCCCTACCCTACAATTAATTGTATATGCAATTTCATGTTGATTTCAAACAAAGGTGGTAAAACACGTCTGAAATGATTCTGCTAATTTGTGCTTTTTTTCATTTTTTTTTTTTTACAGATGATCAGCACTGCTGGCACTGTGGGTAAATGGAAGGCAATGGCACGTCCATCTTTACCTTCTTCATTGGACTCCACATTACCTGGGATATCTCGAGAAGTGCTGTCTGTGTCCATGGAACCAAAATATCAATGTCAGCAGTGCAAAGAGATTCTTAGGAAACCTTTCCAAGCACAGTGTGGACATCGCTTCTGTGTGTTCTGTTTCAAACAACTCACCAGGTACCCAGGGCAACCCTCTGCCTCTTGCTCCGCATTTATTGCCACCCTCTCCATGGACATTCCCAATCCCTTTAATCTACCACTGCACTGTAGCTAGATGGAAAAATATCCCTCCTTTCGCTTGATGTTGATCCACTCTTTTGCCTCTTAACCCAAAGGGTTCTCCTTCAGTCTGGATATACTACCTTCACTTACCTCTGTGGATATGTCCTAGGATATTTTCAATCTTTGGTGAGCTTTACCTTGGTGTCAGTCGTTTGGCTATAGTTTTTTGTCAACTTTATAGTGATTTTATACTATTAGGACAAGTATTTTTTTTTATGATACAACTAATGTTATGTCTGAAAACAAGTTTTTATGTCCTTAAAAAAAAGAAAGAAAGAAAAAAGAAAAGAACTTGTGAATGTGAATTACGTTTTCTGTTTGAGAAGCTATAAAAGGCTATCTGGTATGAAAACAAGTGGAGTAATACACATTTTAAAATGAAGAGAGAGGATTTATTTTCCGTGTTTAAAATAAGTATTCTATCTTTAAAATAATGGATTTCAAGAGAATCTGTATAGAAAAGTGATGATCACAAAGAAAGATGATAAGATATGTTAAATACCACTGACTGCTATTTTATCTAATAAGCCCACAAAGAATTGAAAGTCATATAAAATGCATTGCCTAATTGATTGTGCTCAGAACATATCCTTTGAATTCATTTACTTTACCCACCTACAAATTTCATTGTGAGGACAAACTGGGCATGCTGAGGAAAAAAAACATTATAGGGACTGTAGGGCTGTTTTCCATGTTTCCATAGGGGGAACAAATTAAAATATTAAATGTACTAATTTTATGATTAATATGATAAATATATATATTTTTTAAATGTAAAAAAAAAACAAAAAAAACTACAGCACCACCTCTCTTGTACGTATTCTAAGATTCTGTGTTTTGGAGCACCTCAAGCTGTTTCTCATCACGCTGTGTGAAATACACTGAACGGTGCCTCAAAACAGACTGCTACATGAGCCAAACTGCTGCAGAGCGTATGATACGCAAATTACAGCTCTTGGCTGGGTACAGCCAAGCCCGTGTCACGCTAAGTTTAGATGGAGTTAAAGACAATTATAGTGACACACAGGAGTTGTACATTAAGCACTTGTGTGTCCGTTATTATTGATGCACAAACAAACCTTGTATTTGCGCTCTCGTCACACTGATCACTATAACATCATATTTGTACTTGAACACAATTCAGTATATTCATGTAATTTTCAAAATTATTTACAACGAAGGTTTTATAATGGATGCTCACCGAAGAAGCGTGTTTTGGAGAAGTTTGTGAGGATCAGTGGTGTTTATGTACATATGGGCATCAGACGCTACTAACACAGACATGATCGCCGCTTGTTCTGACAGAGCTTGTTCATTGATGACGACAACCGCCTTCAGATTGCTTCAGAGTTTCTACACATTCAGAATGATTTCATTTTTAATTTGTATTTTGGTTTGTTTAGTGATTCTGAATGGATCCGTATAGTAGTTTATATGCAGTCCTTTGACATCTCCTTGTGGCTTTGTTTGGTATGGCAGGTTGACTTGTACTTATTTGTTAAAGGGGTCATATGATGTTGCTAAAAATAACATTATTTTGTGTATTTGGTTTAATGAAATGTGTTTATGCGGTTTAAAG